ATGTTAACAACAAATTTGTACACAATGATGGGTCTCCATCCTTTTTGTCTTGTTTCTTGTCTAACTGTTTTATCTTAACATTTTTAAGAGATTACATCATTATTTTTAGGCAGCGAACTCGCTATGCCTGTAATCCTGAACATAGTCAATGAATACATTTAGAATGTTGTAAGATGACATGTGCGGTCAAAATACTCATGGAGGTTAGTTGTACCTTTTCTTCCATTTTTGGGGTAGTCACGTATCACTTAAATGTGTGAGAGGTTAATTTACATAGATTTTGTCTAGTGATTCCTATTCCTCCTCTAAGAGTCATGACGACGATAGTTTCGGCGACTATGTCCCCTTCTTCGAATCATTTTCGGCTCATACTAAGAACCTCAAAACATTAAACACGCTATCCACATACACGAACAGTTAGACAAAAAATATAAGAAATAATATTCGGCAACTACTGTGCCAAAAGTACATTTGGTATCATAGAATATACAATGATCCGAAGAAGACAACATAGTCACCGAAACATTCGTCATCCTCTGTTAGAGGAGGAATAGTAAAAAAACAATTTAAAATAACCTCTTATACGTAAGTCATAGCCATAATCAGTTATTTTCTGAATAGATGCAATTTGTTACAATAGTACATCTCAGTCATAAAAAAATGAATAATACAATTTCCTAAATAAGATATTGTATCTTTAACTGAACCATTGTATAGAAATTCCGAAGACCACGAATAGCATGTACAAGCTTTGGCGAAGAATAAACAGTTAAATGTTCGGTACCCAGGATTCATGATTCAAAAACATGTTCGACGTTGGTTTTTAAAGCATGCTCGCTTTTCACTCTAAATAGTGAATTTAAATACGTTTTCATCGTTTATCATCTTCGTTTAACAAAATCATCGTTTGTTAACCATTTTTGCAAAACTTTCTATTAAGGATATTGTTATAAGCGCAAATCTTGACTCTTAAACCTTTCGACTTTAGACATATAAGTCATATTGTTCTCGTCCTATGATTTGGATTTAAAAAAGGTACTAAGCTTAGTCAATATAAGTAGCAAATAGTAACAGTAATAAATATCGGGCCATAAAAAAAACTAATTACTGAATCAAAAAAATAAGTAATGCATAGCCATTCTAGTAACTCAAGGGAATGGACACTTACTGATCGACGTGGCTTTGAGAAACACATAAAGTGTATATAGCTGAAGAATGATTTACCAGAGTAGAGTTTTATTTAATTTTGTTTACAAACATAGCTTGATAAATTGTTATTTGTGCAACTAGTGAGAAAAGTGAGCAGTTGACTCACTCGAGAGAAATCCTTACTCACGAGCCGTAGGCGAGTGAGGAATGGTTTCTCGAGTGAGGCAATTGTACTTTGAACTCGAGTTGCACATTATACTTTTCCTACAGTTACCATAAAACAAATAAATTGGTGAAGAAACATAACCTATTTTTACACAGAAGTGAACTTTTAATATAACATTTAACGTAAAGTGACAAATACAACAGTACAACAGCTGACCAGCTGATTTACAGCCAGTGCTGCCAACGTATTTCGCGCGCATACGACGTTGCCTGCATGTTACGCGCTCACTATTTCGTGCCTTCACGTTGCAAATCTGGAGTGAGACAAAGTAATTAGAGTGAGACAATGTTAACATTGTCTCACTGATGAGCGAATTGGCCACTTTGCTTTCTCAAATCAGTGAGAGAACATGTACATTGTTAGGTAACTGTAGGAAAAGTAATGAAACTCGAATAAGCAAATTCCCTTGCCCCAAATAGTTTTGAACATTTTAATTATTCAACACACTCACTATCTGTTGGTGCCAGGCCAAACATGCAGAAGAGTGTGACGGTTGGGACAGAACGTGTGGATAGAGTTAATTATGCTGAATAATATATTCTTTTACAAACGGGTTTGCGAAGGAAGATAATAAGTTCGATCACATGCTGAGCCCTAAGTTTTGGACTTCCATATTAAATATGTTTAATACAAACTGCAAAAACGTTATAATAGAATGTGTATTGATAAATTTAATAAATATTATATTTTTATATTGGTTAAGGTTATTCGCTAACAGACTTTAAACTTTTGTTCGTTTGATAATTGTTTTCTGTTCAAAGACTATAGGGTTGTTCAATAAAACTTTGGTTTAATAAATACTCCGTTTAACATACATTACTAGAAAATGGGCTGAGTATGTATTGAAATACAAATACAATAAGAAGTTGGTCTATTAAGTTTTCGTAAATGTAACGATAAAGCTCGAAGAGTCACGAAAAAGAGAGAAAACTCTCCCTGTTTCTTTACCTTGTTACGTCCATTGTGCCGTGTCGTATTTTGTCCATGTTCGCTCTATTTTATTTTTAAAGTGAAGAAATAGCAAACATGCGATGTTTTTATGGTGTACAAAAAAAAAATAATCCATTTTCAAATTGCCTGAACGCTAGACAACTATACTTATGTGCAACGGCTGGAGTAAAATTAAAACCATTCGTACATTACCTTGTTTCTGGATCATAAAGTATAATTTTTCAAGAATTAAGTTAAACCTATTGTTCTTCTGTAACAAAACTGGCCTAATTTTCCTGTAAACGTCCATTCCATCTCATCACTGCTAAATCTCATCAGAATAGAAAATTTTACAGTAAAGCAAAGGTATTGAGTGTTTAGTAGTCATGAAAGCTTATATTTATGATGGCTTCTGACGCTATTTTACCTATACTAACAAGAAAATATATCTGTGTTATTAGAGTGAAATAAATCATATTAAATTATATGCTTGAAAAGACAATACTTGATTGTGGTTAACAACGTTTGCAGGTCGACCAACTTAAACCAAAGTTTGTAAATAAGGACTAAAGTAATAACATGGCCTTTAATCTCCATCGTATGATATTCATAAACGGTATTCCTTTGTGCATAAAGAAACAGGTGAGCACTTGATCTCTAAAATACAACTTGCTAGCGTCAGTTATTTACATTCACAATCACTAATATACATGGTGTAGTGTACAACGTATATAACATAACACTTTTATAATAAAATTTGAAAAATTACCATTCAAGTAAACCTTTTACTGTAATTTTAAATCATGTAGGCATGCAAAATTTTGTCCACATTTATATTTTATTTCACATAGTAAAAATAAAAATAAAATTCAAACCAAACGTTTTAGTATATTTCGTATACCTAGGGCCGAAAATGAGGTTTTACCGGCTCGAGATAGTTTTACGATCGAGTACTGCAAAACCATTTCAGTCCATAGTACGAACGCTATTATTTTTTCACCACACTATACCCTATTACCACTATTCACCACAATAATAATGAACACTAAAAGTCAACACAACTACACCTTTAAGGTTATGTGAAGAAATAATTTGAGGAATCAGAAAAAATAATAATAAATAGTTGCTAGGCAGCGGTGACTTTAAAACAAGTCTATTACAATACTATGGGTTCTGATTCTGATTGAAGCCAGCAATTCGTAGCTTTCGGCCTCCAATAAGTGATTGTAAAACTGCTAAAAAACATAATAGTGTGGTGAAACATAATTTTAAAACCCATCCCACAAACAAAGTAAAAAATCATGAATAATCTTGATATAGAATTTCATTGCATAGCTTTTTACCCTGTCAATATTGATTGATCGAAAGGTGATTTATCTTTGTCACAAAAACTTGACGTAAATGTCACAAGACACGTCGAATGAAATTATTATCTATCTTGTAACGAAAATATACTCCAAGGTAAGTCATTCTAAGTTAGCGTAGGTTTTAATAAAAATCTATAAACAGCACTCCGCAATGAAGGGCTTGTAAAACAGTTATACACATTAGATTATATTTAATAAATTAATACATTTTATTGTATATATTTTAAGGTAAATCAGATTATTTTATAGAATCAGATTATTACGTCGCAGTTACGTGAAAATGGTAAAATTTTCAAGTTCCCAACCATACACTAGATCAAAGTTTAGTGATTCCACTAGCCCTTAAACTCTAACTCAGGAACTAAGGATAGCTTCCCGAGAGGAACGCCTGTGTTCATGGCGTGCAAATTCAGTTTTACTACTCTCAAGTTATATTTCTCCTGGGTATAGTAAACCCTAACCGGTTAGTAGCTACTAGCTCTAGTTTACATTATATAACCATGTTATTAACACCATTTATTCAAAGGCCAATAAAATGCCCTACATTTCTACATGGAATCTTCTAAGGCAACTGTCATGAATGTTCTAAAACCATCAAAACTAGCATCTTGTATATTAGTGATATTTAAGTACCAAACTTTTATTTTATACGTCGATTTTACGATTCATTTATGCTAGGACTCACAAACACTATGGTCCGTTTTAAATTAATAGGTACATGATAGTGAATGTGACCTGACAACATTATAAAGTAAAATGTGACAAAATATCTTGCTTGTAATAAATAAATTATGATAAGTTTTCCAACATTTCGTGATAGATACTAAGACGGTATAGCATGTTTGACAATAACTAAGTCCTTCAACAAATTTTTACATGTTTCAGGTAAATGATATATAATCAAGTTTAGGTAAGTTGTAGATTATAATATTTATTATAAACCTCTCTTATTATGACAAGAAACATTTAGCTTCATTGATGTTTTATTAGTGTCCAAGGTGTTTTACCCCGGAAAACATATGTTTAAGTACTTTAATCTTACTAACTTAATTTAACGAACTCGAACTAATAGATCAGAACAGATTAACCCGTCTAGTCGTACCTGGATCTCAGCTCGAACTGAAGCATCGTCTTGCTCTCGTAGGGGAGGGGGCTTATCTCCAAACCCAGGTTCCAAAGGTCACTAATTGTCCTTCTACTCTACATTGTTCAAATAATAACTTAGGCTAATTCTCTTCTTATTTACAACATCTCCTCCCAACCAAATAAAATTCCTTTTTAAAACTTATGTACACAACATTGGGGGAGATACATCTTCTTGCGTCTTCTTACATCTCCAATCTCCGAGGCGCTCTAATGGTCCTGTTAGAGCGACGGAGTGTGGCTGGGCTTCCTTGATTTGTGCCGTTGGGCGATACTATTGGTTTTGCCATAGGTGATGTGCGGGTTCCTTGATTTGGTGATTTTGGTTTCGCTGGTGACCCTTGCTGTTTGGCTGGCGATATTCGATGTTCCGCTGGGCTCTGGTAAAGTTCTCTCGGAAATTGTACCAAGATATCACTATCGCTGTCACCATCTTCCCCCTCCGAAAGATTTACCCTCAGATGGTCTGCATGAACAAATCTACTTCGGTTGTCGACTTTGACCAAATATGTTACTGGACTTATTACTTTGGTGATAACGCCAGGCTGCCAATTGATCTTCTCGTTACGTACTGTTTTTACATAAACCTTGTCTTGAAGTGTGAATGTTCGTTGCTTTCCACGATGGGCATTGGCACTCTTGACGATACTTTCTTGCTTGTTAAGCATTTGGTCTGCTAAATGAGGTTTCAGCAAGCTAAGTTGAGTTCTGGGCTTGAATTTAAACACAGCCTCTGAAGGGGTCACATTGGTTATGGTGTGTGGGGTATTCCTGTATGAGAACAAAAATGAGTCTATTCGATGCTGAAGCGACCGGGATTGGTTGTATTTCGCATCATGCAGCAATTGCCTGTGAAGAGCATGTTTCACTGTCTGGACTGCTCTCTCGGTGAGTCCATTTGAGGCTGGATGATAAGGCGGAGACAAGACATGATGTATTCCATTAGAACTTAAAAATTCATTAAATTCCTGGGATGTAAATTGGGGACCACCATCAGTTACAATAGTAGTTGGTAATCCAAACTTTGCAAAACAATGCCTCAGTTTTTCAATGGTTTGTCTAGCTGTTGTAGTTGGCATGTAAAAGACTTCAATCCATTTGGAGTGACCATCAACCAAGATTAGGAACTCCTTTCCTTCGAATGAGGCAAAGTCGAGATGTAGTCTCTGCCAGTTGTGTTTGGGCCACGCCCAGGGTTGTAGTGGGGCCAGAGGAACAGACTTGCGAGTGCTTTGACAAACTGAACAACTCTTGACCATGTTCTCGATCTCCGAGTCCATTCCAGGCCAGAAAACAAAGCTACGGGCCAAAGATTTCATCCTAGACTCTCCCGGGTGCTCAGAGTGAAGTAAAATCAAGATTTCTTTACGATGGGTGGGTGGTATCACCACTCTGCTTCCCCACAATAGGCAACCTTTTTCCACAGACAGCTGAGAACTTTTATTGGCGTATGGTTTTACGGTTTCATCATTTACAAAATTAGGCCAACCGTTAGAAGTAAAATCCAATACTTTCGACAAAACTGGGTCAAATTTAGTTGCTGTTGCAATTTCCTTGGAAGTGATTGGTAGTCGGTATGAAGCTGAAAAGAATGAAATTTCACCTTCCTCCTCAGATGTCTCACATGGTAGCCGCGACAGTGCATCGGCATTCGAAATTTCTTCCCCTCTTTTGTAGCGAATATTGTAGTCGTAAGCCGCAAGTGTTAGAGCCCATCGTTGTATCCGTGCTGCAGCCAGAGTCGGTATCCCTTTTGTTGGACCTAAGAGAAAAGTGAGTGGCCTATGGTCAGTCACAAGGGTGAATTTTCTACCATACAAGAAGTTGTGGAATTTCTTCACTGCGAAGATGATAGCCAGTGCTTCCTTCTCAATTTGGCTATACTTAACCTCACACTTGGATAAGGCTCTTGACGCAAATGCGATTGGTCGTTCTGCCCCGTCAGGTAGGTTATGAGCAATCACACATCCAATTCCGTAGCTGGAACTGTCAGAAGTTACAATAATGTCCAATTCAGGGTTGTAAGGCATTAGAACGTTGTCCTTAACAAGTAGATTCTTGCACTGCAAAAATGTAGCTTCGCATTCTTTGCACCAAATCCACGGTACATCCTTATTCAACAGCCTATATAAAGGATGGAGCAAAGTTGACAGGTTCGGCAAAAATTTGCCATAGAAATTGACTAAGCCTAGGAAAGATCGCAGCTGCGTAACATTTTCAGGCTTCGGAGCGTTTGCAATAGCCTTCGTAAGGTCATCCGATTGATGAATTCCCTTTTCATCAATTCGATACCCAAGAAATTTCAGACTTTTCTTAAAGAATTCACTTTTTGACGTGTTAATTTGAACGCCATATTGACACAAGCGTTTCAACACCGCATCTACCTTAGTACACATGTCTTGTGTATTTATACTGTAAATCAAAATATCGTCCAGGTAACATACTGTACCCTCTAACCCAAACAAAATTTTGTCCATTGTAGCTTGGAATAGCGCCCCAGCGCTCGTAATACCATATGGGAGTCGAGCATATCGATAAAGACCCTTATGAGTATTAATAGTTAGAAGTTCCTGTGAGCTTTGGCTAACTTTTAGTTGACTATAAGCAGCCGTCAGATCTAACTTAGAGAAACACTTGGATCCTGATATTTTTGCAAAAATGTCTTCAGGGTTAGGGAGAGGGTAGTGGTCGGTTCTTAACCAGGGGTTGACAGTAGATTTAAAGTCGCCACATAGGCGCACTCCTCCATTATTTTTCGGGACTACTACTATTGGAGAGCTCCAATCTGACTGAGTAACTGGGAAAATTACACCATTTTTCATTAAATTGTCTAATTCATTTTCAACTGCGTTGCGCAGAGCATACGGGACATTTCGGGCTTTACAGAAAACAGGCCTAGCCCCTTCTTTTAAAACTAAATCCACAGAAATATCTTTAATTTCTCCAATAGTGTTCTCAAAAACAGAAGCATATTTCTTCTTCAATTCGTTAACTAGGCCTAAGTCAGAAGTTAGAACGGTCTTACCGTTAAGCTGATGCACATTCGTCTCTGCGCTGGCAGCAACCTGATCACTAGGTCCCATTGAACTCCAATCCAGTTTAAGCTTTTCTAGCCAATTACGTCCCAGTAGCGATGGCTGGCGCGCTCCGGCGCTCTCGATTACGACAATCGGTAGATGTTGGCTGTCTCCTGTGTTGGTGCTAATATTAGCCTGAAACTTTCCAAGAACATTTATATCCTCTCCGGTGTAGGTTTTCAACTTAATATGACACTCTTCCAGTTTAGTTTCCTTTTTATAAAAATTTTCAAAATAAATATTATCAGGCATAACTGTAACTACAGCCCCAGTATCCACAACCATCTCAATCGGGACCTTATCAATCATAACAGTTGTCACAAAACTATTTACTTTAGATTGTGACTGGTTAGCGTAGGCAATTGTATGAAGGCCTAATTCATAATCCAAGTCTGGCTGGCCAGCGGGTGATTCATCTTCCTCGCTGCCAGATTCACATATATTTACACGGCCCATAGGCCTACTGTGAAATTTATTACTAGGCTTACCATATTTGTTGTTAGGCCTAGAAGGCTTACTTGACTGACACATATTAGAAAGATGACCCTTTCTCTGACAATTGAAACATGTGAATTCAACATAAGGACAGTTTTTGGAGTCATGTGTTTTACCGCAATGGTAACATTTTTGCTGAAACATACCCTTAGGCCTAGGCTTAAATGCACCCTGCCCCTTTCGATTTATGCCCGGGGTAGGCTTAACAAAATTGATTTCACCTACATTTCTTTCAGGGTGGAGAGATCTAACATTACGATCTGCATTTTCAATAACCAATGCAATATCCATTGCCTTAGAGAAGGTTAGGGAATCCCCCTCTGCCAAAAGTTTACTTTGGATAGCTGCCAATTTTAGGCCGCAAAGAAACCTATCTCTGAGCGCTTCATCAAGAAATTTATCAAACTTACAAGAAGCAGCAAGTTTCTTTAACTGCATGCAATAGTCTGATATTGACTCTCCCTCCTTTTGTGACCTTTTATTGAACAGAAATCGCTCATAAGTCGTGTTAATCTTAGGCAGGAAATGTGACTCCAAAACTTCCATTGCCCCCTTAAACTCTACCTCACCTACCTTCTTTGGATGAAGTAGGTCTTTAAGCGTAGTATAGAGCCTTGGCCCCATGATTGATATGAAATATGACAATTTCTCCTCATCTTTAATTTTATTAATCGTGAAAAAATTGCTTAGCCTTTCAGAATAATTTTCAAAGGTCTCCAGTTCTTCATTAAACTCACTGACTTTACCTATCAGTTGTTTACTCATTGTAGAAACAATTATCTGCACACTTTAAACTGATTTTAAACTCAAAAATCATTTATCTTCACAATTCCCAAACTTTCCTTCCGTGACATGAAAATGACAAGATTCTTGCAACTTGCAGGTTAAAAACTGTCTTCATGATGAGTCATCACTTGATGGATGACGAACGAAAGCGGGCAAGCGGTCACTGTTACAAGTAACTGCTACATTTGGAACAGTTGCACTCGGTCTGGAACAGGTTTTGGAACCGTGACTGCCGAGATTGGTGACGATGTAGAACCTATTATTTCGGAACGGTAACTGTTACTTTGGAACTGTTCCCACACACGCTACGCACTTTTCCTGCACGAAATTGCAACTTCTGGCAAAGTGTAAAAACGCACTTTTAAGCTTCAATACTGATAAAAACGCGAACGGATTTCGAAAAAACACCTCGTCGCCACTTGTTTTACCCCGGAAAACATATGTTTAAGTACTTTAATCTTACTAACTTAATTTAACGAACTCGAACTAATAGATCAGAACAGATTAACCCGTCTAGTCGTACCTGGATCTCAGCTCGAACTGAAGCATCGTCTTGCTCTCGTAGGGGAGGGGGCTTATCTCCAAACCCAGGTTCCAAAGGTCACTAATTGTCCTTCTACTCTACATTGTTCAAATAATAACTTAGGCTAATTCTCTTCTTATTTACAACACAAGGTATGCTTAGTATAGAGTTTTCATAAGAGTAATAAATAAGTTCACTATGAATAAATAATGTAACGATAAATTTCATACTTTACTTTTTTTTAAGTATTCAAGATCATTCGCTGCGATTACATTATAACCCAGTATTTACTTAATTTAAAATTATAACATTTCTCCAGTTACAAAACATAAAAAGCTAACGCCAGTGTGTCCATAGATGATGTTATATACTTTTAAAATAATGTATTTCTGAAACTAGTTATACGACATAAAAAGTATGAGCAGTACAATGATAGGGGGTTTCCTTCACGGGCAAGTTAAATCTTGATATAATCCAAATTTCCGCTGTGTAACTACAACAAAGACATGTCTTATTTACAACTTTGTGGTTGGAAAACAGAATATAAATAATAAATACAATCATGAGAAATTAAAACGTTTATGTTGTGTCGTAAACAAAACAAATTATTAGAAGTTCCGTGAAATAAATTCTCGACACACTGATAACAAAGTAAAACTTCAAGTATGTATCGAATCTAGTTTAATCAAACTAATTTCAACTCAGCCAGACTCATCAGACCTTGTGGCCAGGAAACTAGGTTGAGTGTTTCTCGGCTGCATCTAACAGTGTCATCAAACGTTCACGGGTTTTTATTTCTCGAAATAAATTTGAAAATAAGTTAATTACACTTCGAATAATTAATTTAAAGTTTAGGGACACCCACGAATACTAGAAAAATACCGGTATGGATCATAAACATAAACAAATGACGTTTTTGGCCCGAAAATAAACACTATTTAACATTGCTTAAATGGAACTGCCAAAACATATGTTCAATGCTATTACTATAGGATTCGGGCCAACAACGTCATTTGTTTATCTTAATGATCCATACCGGTATTTTTCTAGTAATCGTGGGGACACCATTATTATTAACTTGTCGCTAGGTAATTTGATGAAATTATTTTAAAACCTGTCATGGAAATTTCAGTATAACAACAATTGCTTAGTAATACGGAATAATAATAATAACAATATCCTGGTCTTGAGAATATAACAGATTATACCCATTTAAAACACTAAAAAATATAATTAATATAATATTATTATTACTGGAAATTGTAAATAATTAGTACCGAGCCTTTTTATTGACATTTACCTATCAATCGGATAAACTTAGTGGTTCGCTACCAAATAACGTTTGTCTATTGTCAACGTTACCTTTTCACATTTGACCAAGTCCCATTTGATCCATTTGGTATTCATAAATTTAAAGTTTAGTTCTCTGAATTGCGTATAACTGTAATGCATTTTATAGGTAACTTTTCAGTTTTCGTAATGTCAACCTTTTTAATATGAAAGAAAAATATTGTTTACTACACTATGATGTTTTTAACTGTTTTACATACTAATGAAATGTTCAACTAAATTTAAAAGTTTAAAAAGGCCATTATATAATAAATTGTTTTAGATACGTTAATTGGTAGCTGAAAGTTACGTTTTGCTGGCCATGCCAGCTGTCATCGTTATTTAGGGACCGAGCAGGTTTTACATCCCTAGGGCAGCAAAATCATCTATCCGCTCATTTTCTTAAAACAACAATGTATATTAAATACACAAGCTGTATTCATAACAATTCAATAGAATTGTTTTCTTGTCACCGCTTCCTAGCAACAATTTATTATTATTTTTGCTGATTCCTCAAATTATTTCTGCTCATAACGTTAAAGTTGTAGTTGTGTTGACTATCAGTGTGCATTATTATTGTGGTGAATAGTGGTAATAGGGTATTGTGTGGTGATAAATAGCGTTCGTACCACGGAAATGGTTTTGCAACTATCAATTGTTTTAAGTTCTCGACTTCGTCTCGTTTTCGGCCCTAGGTAGAAATATAATATTACAGTTAAAGTTAATTATCACTTTTGAGTCACAAGGCAAAGATACACTTTCTAAAGAGTTTTCAAATTTAATAACGATAGTGTGGACGTTACACAAATACAATTAGAGT